CCTGCTATCCATGGAGACGAATATATCAACCGAAAAGGATTTCCCAGCCTCAATGTTCTCGCAACTTGCAACAGCTCAGAAAGGATTTCTCTTGGCCGGGTTTAAATCAAGTCCGTGCTATTCCCCTAGGAGATTCAGGATTTTGCATCGCTCCCTGGCTAATAACACCTTTCAGAGCACCTGGAAATCCAGAACAACAAGCATTCAACAACATGCTAACCAGAGAAAGGGCCATCATTGAGAGGTGTTTTGGAAAACTAAAACAGAGATTCCCTATTTTACACTATACAATTTCTAATTTATCATTTTTTTGCAGTCTGGGATATGTTTTTTATTTGAATCCAAAGTACCTCCGTGCCACTTCGCGCTGAACTGTGCGTGTGAGCATATGGATCAAGATACTTGAGTTCAAGCCAGAAAATGAGCGAATGCTAGGCTTGTATTTATTTATACCAAGCAACAGTAAAAGCTCAGATTCTGCCCCCATACTTCGAGCATTTACTTCGTGCTCAGGTTTATTAATACCACCCAATTTTTACTATATTCTTCATGGTCTTGGAAACGGTAATGATTCCGAGTCAATTTGATGTATTATTACAGGAAAATAAATCGGATTTGTGTGTTCCTGAATTTCTTAACAGCCGGAATCTCAGTGTCAATCTTGACCAGGGGCGCCGACTACGTGGGTGCTCGGGGGCTCGAGCATCCACGAGACGTAAATAGTGGGTGCGAAGCACCCACGAGCATAGACATAAAAACTGATAATCCTCTCTAGTTCCTGGAAAACTGGTTAATTTTGTACCTCGGGTTCCTGAAATCTGGTTAACCAAATGTCAAAATAGTTACCGGCCATCGGATGTCGGTTTTGTTGGTTTTATCTGTGACTTCTGTCAATTATGTTTTATTTCCATATTTGCGTTTCCCAAAGTAACCGGAATTTTCAGTAAACATCTGTTGACCGATTCGGTTACTTTAGCTCTGTTCCAGCAGACATGAAAACCTTTCTAGAACGGTAATTTCCAGTCGATCAATCCATTTGTCAATTAGGAAAAACGTTCAACTTATTGAAAAATAGGTGGGCAACTGGAAATTATTGGTTCTGGAACGGTTCTCATGTCTGTTGGAACAGAGCTAATGGTTAACGTTTGGTTATATTTGGACTATAGCCTTACATAGGTTATATTCCGATATCAACTCTGTCAGTACTGAATTTACTGGACGCCGTTCCGATATTATTTTCAGGACACTGGATTCAGTCGATTCAGTACTGAATGACCACAAGAGTACCCTGTTGAAATTCGAACGGCAAATGACAGTAAAATCAGCACAGTATATCCACTACTGGCAGTTGATATCGTAACATGGTGGTACTTTGTTTAGAAGAAGAAGAAGATGAAGAAAATCAGAAATCTTTTATGGAGAACAGCGTAAAACGCAGATTTTCGGTACATGCTGCTTGGAAAAGAATATCTGCAGGAGAGTTTTCCACACTTTACAGTAGAGTGTTTTCACAGCTATCAGACCAATACCCACCTCTACCACGTAAAAACCCCCCTCCAGCACAGCCATCATACCACTACCCACCTCCACTGTACCCCCTTCCGTGAAGCTCCTACCCTGAGGAGGCACTTTTTACCCACCTGCACTGTAAACCCTCTTCCGTAAAGCCCTCCATTAATCTATTTTGAAAAGGCTCTTACCCTGAGATGGCACTTTATTATATCCCTTCATTTTCTTGAAAACTAAAGAATATTTAACTAATTCTTTCATTTGTATTCGAATTCGTCAATTTTGGGGTTGGCCCGGGTCAAATCCCCAAAATTTCAGATCAAAAGCACCGCCGATCTAGAGATTTTCCCATGTTACAAAAAACTTCCCAGGCTCAAGTGCCCCCGACTATCAGACCAATACCCACCTCTACTACGTAAGTGGTCTACCAGATTCACAAGCAAAATGTTATTATTGCAATAAAATTAATCTCATGGAGTTTAGAACACTATTGACGAATACAAATGCAGGAATTGTTGAAATATTCTTTAATTTTCAAGAAAGTGAAGGGATATGGAAAGAGGTACCTCTTCAGAGTAGAAGCTTTTTGACGTAGTGAAGGTGGGTATTGCTCTGATAGCTGTGAGGTGGGTATTAGTCATAAACAGGTGCATTAATTTTATTGCAATAATAAATATTTTGCTTGTGAATCTGCTAGTCTGATAGCTGGGGGCACTTGAGCCTAGGAAGTTTTTCGATACCGTGGGAAAATCTCTCGATCGGCGGCGCCTTTTGAAAATAGATTAATGGAGGGCTATGATGGCTATGTTGGAGGGGGGCTTTTAAGTGGTAGAAGTGGGTATTGTTCTGATAGCTGTGAAAACACTCTACTCTTTACCCTTATAGCCGTCCTTTTTTTCCAATTTTAGCAGACACCGCAAAAAACTTACGCAAGCACCAAGCAACACTAGTTTCCGTAGCTGGAAAACGAATATGAACTACGTTGTTTGAAATGTATTACCATTCCCTTCTTAGACACTCGTCCGAATGTAAATTAAAGAATGCTGGTAAACGTTTTTGGGCGTGACTTCTGGAGAAGTTTTTTCGCCACCGGCGGGCTGTTCCCCCCCCCCCCCCCCCCCTCCTCATAAATGCCGGTGCATGAACATCAGCACCCACGAGGTTTTCTGAAACCCGGCGCCCCTGATCTTGACTTCCAGCTTTAAGAGCGGCATTAGCGTTTTCCTATCTTTCTATAGTCAACGGACAATTTTTTTAGAGTTGATGCTTTATATCTTCTGTCAACATAGTAGATACCTACTTTTGTTACCTCTTCTCTTCTTTTACCTATCAAAAGTTGAGTTAACTTGGCGCCACAATTTATTAGTGTATTTCTATAAGCAAGTAGGTAATCCTAAGTTGAAATCTTCTAGGCCTTTTCCGTATCTTCTTAACAAAATAGTTATGAAGCTTTCACAGTATTGCTCCAAATCGAGACAGGGCAAGACAATATGGTTGGAGATATCGAAATACAGTAGGCACCAGTGAGGATTTCAGGAAATTTGAGCTTCAGAGTGGGAGGTAGGTACCAACGTCATCGGTCATCGTCATTCTTCAAATAACTATTCAACAAACCAAAAATTCAATGGATCAAGATCAGCCAATCTCGGTGGCCATGAATATCCAAAATGTCTGCTAACAATTTTCAAAAATCGCTGTTTGTAATTCCATGTAGAATTGCATAATTCCATAATATTTCCAGATATCGTGTCCCAGTAACAGTTACTTACCAATACTCACCTCCATTTTCTATCTCCTAGAAAAACTATCGACTCAAACTTCTACGTCTTTGAACATCTTTCAATTTCATATTGATTGTGACAAACTCCCGAAGAATTTAGTGTAGATAGGTACTGGTTCAGGAATTAGAGGAATCGTTTAGGAATTAGAGAAAACGAAAAACAACAAGAGGTAAGTAGTTGATGAAAATTCTAAGAATTAGCTCGAAACTACAGGAATTATTCCCGGAGTCCCCAGAATTTGGGAGATATAAGGAAGTGGTTCATAGGAGGCTCTATAAAATTGTATTTTGGTGCACCTGGCATTGAACTTTCAATTCCGAAACATATACCTACCAATACACATGATAGCATTAGCTTTACTTGTATTCTCATGCAGGAAAGAAATAAAAAAAATTGAAAGGAATTATGATAATAATAATTGTTGACAGAATTAGAAACAATTTGAAGAATTACAGCTGTATGCAACATCTTCTTTTAACTTAAAAGCGCTTTTTAAAACTGGTACCTTTAAAAATTTGTATGGTTTAGAATACACATTTTTAAAAGTGACCAGTTTTAAAAAGCGCTTTTAAGTTAAAAGAGGATGTTGCATACAGCTGTTAGTGTTTTGCACTTAGCAATTCATAAAACATGAAATCACCATGATTCAGTTTCAATTTTCCAATCAATTCACCATACACCGTGCATAAGATTGCGAAGATTACCCATAACCTTCTTGAAATAGTTGTCAATTTTTCGTGAGGCATCAATTTACAAAAATAACAGCAAGTCATATAGAAGACTTCTACAAAAGTATCCAGTAAGCAAAACTAACCCAATTACAAAAGTAGGTAGTTTTCCTCGAATCAGCTCAGTATAGTAATAAAATATCTTCTGGGTCAGCAGCCTACATACTTCAAACGTCAGCAGCTTTATTTAGTAGCCCTACCTTTTCTTTGAACTTGTCTCCGGGTAAACAATAGATGATATCATATACGCTTTCGGCAAAAGCCGGGCAATTTTCAAGTGACGGACTTTGTAAGTGCGTCGACCTGGGTATACGGAACGTGCAGGAATGCACCACGGTATTATAGACACCTCGTTCTTCTACTTCTTCTTTCGGCTTTGAGCTAGCAATCTCTTTGGCAGGCGGATTTTTTTTTTCTGCCTGCTATATTTAGCCGAAAGATTCTTGGAAAACTGACATTGTTTGTTTTGAAACAATTAAAATCAAAGGGATAAAGAAAAAAAACTAGAAATAATTATTTCATAAAAATATCATTGTCTTTTTAATTCAAACCACTAATTGGGTTATCGATATCACAGCAGTAGTTGCTAACAATTGGCTATACAATTCATTTACTTAAAATATTAAAAATTATTCTTCAAGCTGTAAGAATTTTTAAGTGTTAAATAATAATTATAAGTACAAATAACAACTACTCAACTGTCCAATGATACAACTTAAGTTTACAAATGCGCCAATGAAAAACTAGGCACTAAATAAAATACACAAAAAACAATAAAGGAACTATAAAAATTAATTAAAAAATAAAACCTACTTATAATCTAACAAACCCCAAAGTCTTCAGTTTCATGTGGGAATTTTTTTAAACCGAATCGTCGAATTCGGTTAAAGGGACGCGCACATTATTATTTCCTTGGATCAAGGGACGAACACAAAATTAAGTTTTATTAAGGCGGCTATACACGATTTCAGGGGATCGGTTGTTAGCCTAGGCCCACGTCTAAGGTCATCATTACTAGAAATCCGAATACGGCGCCCCAGGTGGCAAGTTTTCCGTTATCACTAGAACAAAAAAAAAATCGTTTATTGGATTAATCGAATAATAGGAGGGTTTTGTCTGAAAGTTGTTATTTGATCGCCAAAAGCAACGTTGTCCAATGTGTAATGTTTTTCAGTCGTACTTTACGACGTTGGACTAACGCTCAGTTTTGACTCTGAGGTTAATCTTGAACCGAATCCAAGTTGCTTGAAAGTCAACTTTGTATAGTACATATTTAGTTTTGGTTTTAAGTTTTTCATGTGCGTGATCCTAAAAATTCTTTCATTCTTTGGTAGGAAGGTGATACTGAACTCTAAAGTCGTGACTTTACCAACAGACGAACTACATAAAGTTAGGGTAGAAATTTACGTAGATTTTTGATCATCCAACATTGCCGCTCATCACTCACTTAATATTTCACAAACTCTAATGCATATTTATATATTCTTGATCAGAATTCAATGATCTTTAAGATAGAATCACTGTTGACAGGTCAAAAAAATTAAATTCACCAGAAATTGAAATGAAAAATCACCAGATTTAAAAAATAATCACCAGAAATCTTGAAAGTTGATTAAAATCCAATTTTGAGACTCAATTGCTCTAAAATTATTTACGTTATCCAACTGAATCTAGCACTGATTTATAGAAAATTTAATGCTCTTTCCAACCATATATAATTTATTTTGATTTGCTCGAAATTTAATGGAAGTATTGGCAATTGCTCCTAACCTTGTCAAGATTTACAAAAAAATTTAGATCTGAAAATTGAGATTTTCTTTTTGATTTTTTTTCTCCTTTGAAATCGAGATTTGCAAATGAAGTTAGAGTTTTTTTCAACTAGTTTAGATCCGCTCTATCGATTGAAAAAGTCAAAATTCAAAAAATCTGAAAAATAAAAATTTCGATTTTTTCAAAGGGTTAAACCCCTTTGGATTTTAATTTCAAAATTTTCAAACTCAATTTTCTCGAAACCCGTCAAAAATTTTGGATCAATCTTTTTGAGATTGTAGCCCTTGATGAGGGCTTCAAAATGGTACTTAGTTGAAGTCGCTGACATTTACGGTTTTTGAGAAAATCGAGTTTGAAGTTTTTGACCAAATTTCAACTAAAATCCCACTTTGAGGCTCAATTGCTCTAAAAGTATTCGAGTTATCAAACTCAATCTAGCAGCGATTTATAGAGAATTTGATGCTCTTTCCAATCATATATAATTTATTTCAATTTGCTCAAAATTTAATAGAAGTATTGGCAATTCCTCCTAACCTTGTCAGGATTCAAAAAAAATTTAAACCTAAAAATTGAGATTTTCTTTTTAATTTTTCTCTGTGTTGAAATCATTTATTTCAAACTTAATCTCGAAACCCGTCAAAGATTTTGGATCAATTTTTTTTGAGATTGTAATCCTTGATGAGGGCTTCAAAATCGTACTTAGTTGAAGTCGCTGACATTTACGGTTTTTGAGAAAATCGAGTTTGAAGTTTTTGACCAAATTTCAACTAAAATCCAACTTTGAGGCTCAATTGCTCTAAAAGTATTTGAGTTGTCAAACTCAATCTAGCAGCGATTTATAGAGAATTTGATGCTCTTTCCTACCATATATAATTTATTTCAATTTGCTCAAAATTTAATAAAAGTATTGGCAATTCCTCCTAACCTTGTCAGGATTCAAAAAAAATTTAAACCTAAAAATTGAGATTTTCTTTTTAATTTTTCTCTGTGTTGAAATCAAGATTTTGTAATGATGTTAGAGTTTTTTTCGACTAATTTAGACCCGCTCTATCGATTGGAAAAGTCAAAATTCAAAAAATCTGAAAAATAAAAATTTCGATTTTTCCAAAGGGCTAACCCCTTTGGATTTTAATTTCAAAATTTTCAAACTCAATTTTCTCGAAACCCGTCAAAGATTTTGGATCAATTTTTTTTGAGATTGTAATCCTTGATGAGGGCTTCAAAATCGTACTTAGTTGAAGTCGCTGACATTTACGGTTTTTGAGAAAATCGAGTTTGAAGTTTTTGACCAAATTTCAACTAAAATCCCACTTTGAGGCTCAATTGCTCTAAAAGTATTCGAGTTATCAAACTCAATCTAGCAGCGATTTATAGAGAATTTGATGCTCTTTCCAATCATATATAATTTATTTCAATTTGCACAAAATTTAATAGAAGTATTGGCAATTCCTCCTAACCTTGTCAGGATTCAAAAAAAATTTAAACCTAAAAATTGAGATTTTCTTTTTAATTTTTCTCTGTGTTGAAATCAAGATTTTGTAATGATGTTAGAGTTTTTTTCGACTAATTTAGACCCGCTCTATCGATTGGAAAAGTCAAAATTCAAAAAATATGAACAATAAAAATTTCGAATTTTTCAACCCCTTTGGATATTTATTTCAAAATATTTGATCTTGGATATCTTAAAATCTATTGAAGATTTTGAATTAAAATTTTCAGGAAATATAACTCTTGACAAGGGCTTTGAAATGGTATTTAGTTGAAATCGCTAGCTCTTATGGTTTTCAAGAAAATCGAGTTTGAAATTTTTAATAAAATTTGGACTAAAAGTTAACTTTGAGATCCAATTTCCCAGAAAGTATTTGAGTTATGAGAACCAATTTAGCATGAATTTATAGAGAATTTAATGCTCTTTCCAACCATATATAATTTGTTTTGATGTGCTCAAATTTCTTTGAAGATACTGGGCATTATTCCTAATCTTGTCAAGATTTGAAAAAATTTCCAGAACGAAAATTGAGATTTTTTAGCTTTTTGAAATCGCCATTTTGGAAGTGATGTTAGAATTTTTTTCGACTATTCAAACCCGCTGAATCAATTGGAAAAGTCAAAATTTAGAAAAAATTAAAAATAAAAATTTCGAGTTTCCGATTGTTTTGACTGAAATATGCAACGCCACTGGCCAAACAAAATACATGTTGCCAACCTGAAAAATAATCGGCCAATAGCAACAAGAACCCGGAATAAACAGAAATTGAAATATAAAAAGGGAAACAATATATAAATATATCAAAAGAACAAATACAAATTTATATAAAAATCAAAGGACCTCACACACCACTTATGGGTATTTGGTTTACTGTCAAACTAATGAAATTTGTATGTTGAAGTAAAATTTCAATACATTACGAGGGATGTTTATAAAGTGCATCTTTAGGGGTTTAACCCTTTGAAAAAATATTCCAAATTGATGAAATTTCAAAATCACCAGAAATTGCCATTTTTCAAAAAGTCTTTCACCAATCACCAGATTATTCATAAAATCACCAGATCTGGTGAAATTTCACCAGACTTGGCATCACTGGATAGAATAAAATCGAATCATTTATTTCAAATGGTTTTTGAGATATTGGGCCTCAAAGTTGAAGTTTTGTCGCAAATTTTAGGAAACCATAAAAACTGATTATCTTGAAAACGAAGCCCTTAGGGGTCGATGTTAGTTCCTTATATACAATGTGTCCAAGATAAGGAGGGGCAAGTATGGAGATCTAATGATATGATGGTCTAAAGACGAAACTTCGGATTACAAATTTGATAATGCCATATTGTAGAGGAGGAAAAGTGGCAATGATAAAGTGCCATTTATTTTGAAATATCTCTTCAAATAAGGTCAGGAAAAAATACAATGGTTTTGCGCGAATTTCGAGTTTTCCCGGATATCTCCGGTATCACAAGGAATTTTTGAAATATCAGAGCGGTATTTTAATGAACACAAAATTACGCAACTTTTTCCTGATTTGAGCAACTTCGTATCTTTCACTGTTTCCGAGATCCCTATCTTGGACACATTGTATATGTATATGTTCACTAGTCATAGACACTCTCAATAATCCACATTTCATGAATGTGAACGAAAGTCCATGTTGACACGTTACATAATGTTGGTTCATTCATTCAGTAAACTGTAGACATTGGACCTCTGAGGAAGAACGGTTCTTTGCAGTGGTCCAAGTACAAGAAAAGTGTAAATAGAATTTGAATTTGAATCAGCTTTTTTTCAAAATGTTCCACTGCACTGTCTTCTTGTTCATTCTTAAAAACCTTTTATACTTAGAGTCAGGCCGAAAAAACAGTTAAACAATTTTATAGAAATTCTCGGAAGGAATGCATGCATTCTTTTTCAAAGTAAACATATACATAATATTATTTAAATATAAATAGAAATGTGCATCGGAGCGGTGCGCGACTGCGTTCTACTAGAACAAATAGTAATATAATTTAACGTCTTAAGTGTGGTCCAGAGTAAATTTTCGAGTGTGTGGGATAGACGCTACAAATTCCTTCCTTGTTCGAAAATAGACCGCCTAAGTTTATTAAGTCTAGTCTAGTTTATTATTGTCTTGTTTAATTTAGAATCGTTTTAAAAGCCAGGGACGTTATTTACCACTTTTATATTGAAAGTGGTTGTCTCCAAGCTAGATTCGCTTATGTAATTTACTTGGAGATTAGAGGGCTAGAAAATTTTGTTTTAGTATTTTTTAGTGCAACTTTGGACCTTACTCTGCAATAGTGAAGAGAGGTAGAAATAAAAGAATAAGACTATTGTATTGAGTCATTGTTAAAATGTCTATTTATACATATAATAATTGGTATAGGGCACAAATGATCTTGTCGATTCAGCCATTTCATTGTCCAGTCTTTTTTTAAACAGGTTGACTGAGGATACATTTACACTGTCCAATTTTCTACGCAAATGCCTGGCACATCTCTCCTTACAGAGTTTCTTGATATGGCCCCTTAGATGCTGGCTGTCACTGAGCTGGAACATACTTAACTGCAGTTAAGTAATGTCCACTTATTATCACTAGATCCCCACGCGTTCGTCCTTTGTTGGTATGGAAGGTCATGAAGAGCTGGGCAAATTTTTGAACTTTTCTAAGTGCTTGTCACAATAAGGACTCCATATCCTTTGGGCATAGTCTAGCCTGGATCTTGAACAGCTTTACATACATTTGGGGTCTGGGATCTTTAAATGTCTCGAAAATCAGATACATATGATGAAGTTTTACTC